AAAAGAGACTCTTCGCTGAACTTATTTGTTCTTATTTCAATGTCTTAATGGGTATTTTTCGCGAATATAATAAAATGACTGCCTTATCTCATAAGACTTGTTTTTTTTTTTACTTTGAATTCTAGTATGGAAAAGTGAAAACTATGACTCTACCAACAATGAAAGCAAAAATCTGGATACGTTATGTGGACGATACAATTAACGTAATCAGAAGAAATAATTTAGAAGACACTTACAAAGGATTCAACAATGTATTTGAAGATATCTAATGCATAAGTTAAGAAGACTCAGACAATAAAATTATTTCCTTTAAATATCTTAGTCAAGCAAACAAACACAGGAAGTGTAGAAACACAAGTATACACGAAGTCAACCCATACAGATCAAATACTAAACTACACAATACTAATCCAACAGTACATATATGGAGCTGTTCTTCTGCACTCAGCCAGTATAAACAATAAGATTCGGATTTTCAAGCGAAAATTGAAATCAGTCACTTCTGCTATATGGGTGAGAAACTTGACTAGCGTGTCATGAAAAACATTTCCAACAAGTTACAAACTTTATCAACAGCTGTCACCTTCGTTGGCTCCATAGTCAAGATCAAATGGCTGAGTGGCCGGCCAGAAAGAATTGGCGACAAGAAACTCTGGCTGGTAAAAGACCAGCCAAGAGTCAACTGTTTAACAGGTGTGTAGGAGAAAATGGAAATGGATTAGGCATATGTTGAGGATGCCACCGAATGACATAGAGTTCAGTGAAGAATATCACTCGAGTAGAATCCCTATGGGGAGCAATATGTGGGTCGTCGATGCGAGGGTGACATGAAGGAGATTGTGCGAGTTGGAGGGGATAGGAGTTTATGGGGAATCCTGTGGTTAACTAGATGAAGAGGACACTAGAAAATAGAAGAAAGTGGAGATGTGTTGTTGAATCCTCCTTAACATATATTCTTTCATATCAATCCATACAGAAAACTATGGACATCAGTTTGACTGAGAAAACGTTGAAATTTTAAATAGTGGAAACACTAAAAAATGTCATGAAATTCCCAGAAGTCTGGTACTCAGAGGAAACACTGATTAACAGACACATTACTAAAAATAAAATTCATCAAGGGGAATAAATGCATAATAAAGAATAAGCCAGACGAAAAAAGTCAAATTCTATATCAATAAAAACGACCACTACTTGGACAAATTAATAACTAATCGCAATAAAGATTGTCAGGAGATACAGTTATATTATTCATGGAAAGAATTCATCGTATTTTTGGTACAGGTATGGAATTTTCACCATGTGATATCGGTAGCCCAAATTTTGCAGGCCGACCATAGATATCAGGTGTGCGTCGACAGGGGATCGAACCCCGGACTATGTGCATGGTCAGCGAGAGTCCTAACCACTGTGCCACCGACGCACTTGTTAACTTATTGGTATCATGTTGAAGTGAGTTGTAGCGTACACTGCTTAAGCTAAATAATCCTACATACCAAAGTTTGAAACTCTGTAAACTAGCACATATAAAAGACACTATTAATAAGCGAAAACCTTTAAAAAATAAAATAAATATATATTTGACATTCATCTAAAATCACCTTTATTTAATTAAGGACAATTAATGATAATCTAATCACCACAGGTTAATTCCCTTTTTGCTATTATAACTAACATTGTTGAAAGTGCTCCTTTGTAGTTTGAAGTTTCTTTTCTAGGTTAGATAACTTCAAGATAGTGGACAATTACATAATACAAAACTATATTTTCTTGTCTTCAAAATTTCGAGAAATAATTTATCTAACTTTTTATTTTGTAAATGTTTGTCTTTTGCTGAAAAACTTGCAAGTTAACCTATTTAGTATTTTCTTTTCATAAAAGAGAAATAAACACTTTGTTTGATCATGAAATCTAAATAGGAACCTAGCAGCAGGGAAGAATACAAAAACAAAAGCCAAACGGGAGATAAATGCATGTGGAGATGGTTCAAAGTGTGATCTATATTACTACTAGGTGCATTATTACTCTACTGCGTATTATTATGTAATGACTATTGTGTAATACAGGAAATACGCACTTTAGTTTGATAATATATAAATAAAGCGAAATTCCTTTGATGGTAGATAAAATATTAGATAAACAAGTGTTTTATATTCTTATATTGCCTCAGTAATTCGTAATCTGTGCTAGTACATTGGACCACCCTTATTTTATAGCCTTTATATATATAGGACCTAAATGGAAATATTAATCGTTAAGATTAAGTCATACTTAAGCCAATCAAAAAGAGAAGATAATTTCCTTTACCAACAAAGTTATCTTCAAAAGCTACATAATCATATTTGTATCTATCAGAATGGATTTTTAAAAAATTCCTTTACGTTCCCGTGTGAAACACAGGGCTTTAGGCTAGAGGCTTGAAGTTTCGGTAGCATTGGTGTTTGTTTTTACGGGACAGGGTTGCTAGCTTCATGCTTAACCTTCCCTCTTTACCAATTTTTTTACTGGCTTAGTGAGGTAAAGGAGTGAGTCGGCCAGGGATAGAACCCCGGACCACATGAATTGTAGTTGGCCAGCATTCTACCGCTGTGCCACCAAAGTACACATCATAATGCATAGCAGCCTAATACTGATTAATAGATTAGTGTCATGTAACTAATATATTTACTCAGAAGTAGGATGAAATCACTGGAGACCTGTTTTAAAATCATCTACAGAGTGAGGCCGAATGAATGCATCTGGGGTTTAATGGGTCAGTTTCCGTCAACTATGCTTTACGTGGTCCGTGTTTCAACCCCCCTGGCCAAAGCATTCCTTAATCTTTCTTAGTCGATAGTAACTCTGTCAGAGTGGAAAGGGGTTAGGTGTGAAATTAGCAACCTCAATCCGCAAAACAAAACCACTGCCACTGGAACTTCAAAGCTCAAGCTTGAAGTCTTATGTTCCACTCGCAATGCATAGGAAAAATGCATGGGCCGAACGATACATTAGGCATTAGGCTTCGGCACTTGCGTATGATGGCGGCGCTAGCCGTTCGTCAACGCAACCTCAAATTCCGAAAGCAGACAAGATTTGTTAAGTATTTTATTTATATTCTATTAGGAAGTATGTATGTGCTGCAACTTCGAAATTAGTATATCTCATCTCTACAATTACAAGTTTGCTATGAGGCCAGGCTGTAGTAAAATAAGCCTGAGTGTTTTTGTAAAATATGTTTATTGTTAGTTATTATATTTATAAAGTCTACAAGACGACTTAAAGAGTCGTCTGTAACGCTGTTTAGTTTTATACTGTAGAAAGTCAAATAAATGGGTAGGTTCTAATCATCTCATCGGGGTTATGATGGATGGATTGCGTTATAGTGGCAGTATATGTTAGTTTTTATAACTTGGCTGATAACCATTCAGTAATGCTCCTTATGGAACGATTAAGATACCTTTTATTATATATATATATATATATATATATATATATATATGCCTGCAGCACCAGCTAATTTGGGGGTTTTATGCGGCAACAAAACTATGTCATATATAAGGATAATAATAATATCACCTTTATTCTGGACAGTATTTATATAATGTAATGAATTTTTAGAACAGTTTATTGCATGATGTGTTTCCTTCGTACAACATCTTTAAGTAAAATATGAATTGACAGTATATCCTATGACACAATAGTCTCTGAACTGGTGAAGCACAAACCATTTCATTATGATATTTCTGATTTTTCCCCTTCAAGAAGTCCACGATATCTAGTTGAAAGTCAATTGTAAGATGTTCAGAAGTACATTTTGAAACCCAAAGACATAACTAAAGAATAGTTATCTCATGTATTGGGATACGTTGCCACCCACAATCAGGCCACTCCTCAAGTTAAGTAGGAACTTGTGAATTAGGGTCTTGTAAACATTTTAAATACACACCAAAGCAGGTAATACCAACAGAGATCATATCTCAATCCATTTAAACAAACCGAAAGAGAGAAAATATATGCAAAAGAGAGATTGAAACCTTTGGTAGCCCAAGTTTTAAGCAGGCCGCCGCCTATTAAGAGTATACCAGCAAGGAAAAATCTTTTGAACACCACCAGGTGATATCTTCTTTTCTGATGACGAGATAATTTTCGTGGATATTCCGGAGAATGAATCATAGTTACAATTTTTTTACATAAGTATTGAGAGAAATGTTTCATAAAACTACATTATAACTGTCTTAATTGTTAGATGATTAAAGGCAATCGGCAGGAAACCCTGGCACAAGTTAGTTACTACCCGGTGTCCCGTCGGTGGCACAGCGATTAGGACTCTCTCTGACCATGCAAATGGTCCCCTGCAGGCGTACACCTGATATCTATAGTCGGCCTGTAAAATTTGGGCTACCGATATCACATGCTGAAAATTCCATACCTGAACCAAAAAATACGGTGTGGAATCAAGCTGTAATCAAAATAATAAAAAATAATAAAAATTAAAATAACTACCTTAGCTTTCTTATATATTGGATGACAGAATTTTAGCTTAACGCACTGATTACCTACCCCCTCTGATACACACACACACATGTAGCATTTTAAGTGATTTTACACTGATTAAAAAAGGCATAACTCAGTTTTCGATTACAGTCTTTCTTTTTTTGCTTACTAGGCCTTAAAGCATGTTGCATATATATGGCAGGTCAAGGTCCTTTACAGTTATCCACGCTGAATTAAATACACTAAAACTTAGACATGATATCTCTTGATTGAAAATTAACTTATTCAGTAAACGAACTACACCTAAATCAACGAAACTGATAAGTGTCACGAACGAAAATGGTGTTGGCGAATGGTAAGAATGAAGTGATGACATAAACTTTATAAAGAAAATTGATAGCGCCATACATCAACGAACTATATATTTACAACATGAGAATAAGCTGTCATAAAATATCAAAGTAGTAGTAGGTCGTAGCAGTATTCAGAACTAGTACTGAACAATGTTATTTAAGAAATATGCTTACCAACATAGTCTGGTGTTCCTGCTAGTTCACGATGTTGTTTCCCTTCCGTTAATACAGTTGCTAGGCCAAAGTCTGTTAGAAAGACATCAGTAGATGGATAGGGTTGACGTAACAATACATTTTCAGCCTTAAACAAACAAAAAAACAAAAACATTCATCAGTATCCAAGGTATTTATACAACATAGTACTAATATAAGTGAAAACAATTATTAATAAGCATTTTCTTATAGAAATTTCATTGTTCACAAGAGATAGATGAAACTAAAAGTTGCCCTGTTTTTTAAAGTGACAAGAAAGTAATCTTCAGGAACACTTGTTTGTATATATTTACTATAAAAAAACAAAAAGAAAATTAGTCACAGGATTTCATCATAAGCTGACATTGATTAGAGAAACATTGGAAAACCTGCAGGATGTACTGGACAGTCAGCTGTTTCGTCAGCCAAGTTTGAGACTCTTTAGCAGTACGCACCCACACTGCCGGGTTTGAACCCAGGACCTTCTGGTTACAAGACGAACTAGCTCATAGGTCATTAAGACACTGGGACCCAATCTTTGTAGCCAATGTTCCTCAAACCGATATCAACTCATGATGAAATCCTGTTACCAAGACTTGAAAACGAAAATTATTCGGACGAATTTCTAGTTGTCATGTGTACAGTCTTCTTTGTGATGTTGTTTTTAACTATTATATTAACATGAAGTAGAAATGACGACGTAGGTCTGTGGCCTTTGAGATACCTTTAGTTCGAATCTATAAGGATGAACAATCTGAAGAGAGATCAATGAGATTCTAGGACTTTCAAGAACGGAAAAGAAACTTGGGTCTAGTTAGCTACTGGTTCTAATTGCTTGGTTGGCAGAAAATCAAGCCATTAAGCGAAAAGTTGTAAGTCCTAAGGCTATTATAATAGTTCGGTCGTTTATTTTTTCTTCAGTAGTAGAAGCTTTTAAAATTCTAACGATGGCAATTCTAATCACCTGAAGTAAGTAACATGACACAGTATCTTAACGAAATAAAGAAAACCCTTTGTGTTTAAGTACTTTTTACATTCCACGTGGAACATAGGGCTTCTGGCGTTGGGTTGTCTGGTTTTAGTGGAGGTAGTGGTAGTGGTGTTATCACAGGTTGCGACTGTTAACCTCCCACCGAACCTGCCCTCTTTTACGGGCTTACCACCTGCCAGGTGAGGCTAAGGGGTGGGTTGGCTGGGAATCAGACACAAACCTGATGTATGGTTTTGGGAGATCCTTCTGTTTAACTAAAGACGTATATGTATGTCTAAGACTATGCCACTTTTCCCTCCCAGCCTAATTCTACTCCAGCTAACTCATTTAGCCAAGGTTGGCTGAGGTTCCACATGCCTTTGTACATGTGTATACAACCTCAGTGGGTGGAAGAAATTCCATAATCTTGTCAGTCAGTTTCCTTGTTTCCTTGTCTAATGATCATATTGTTTCACTGGGAATTAGTTTTGATAAAGGTAGACTAGTGGAAGCAAGTGGTATAAGTTAAAAATCTAGTCAGTGGCTACCAGTTAAAATCAAAGTATCTTATGCCATTACGTAATTTCACAAGGCATTCGCGTTCATTCTATCTGCATTCCTTGTATACTATTGTGGACAATCACCTCTTGTCTTGGCCATAAAATATCAATTATTCACTATTTAATTATAATGAATAATTACTAAACTGATTAACAATTTTACATTATAAAAATAAACGTGTTACACTACAAATAGGACATAACATGGGATAAATAGTACGAATACTTATTTATACATTAACTAAACGCAAACACATTGAGATATGAAAGTATTTGCATAAAGATAACTTGTTAAATATTTTCTTCGAATTATTAATAAACTAATTCTATAATCTATTTAATAAACTGATTATAATGTTGATAAGATAGAGATCATTTTGGCTTTTTGTAGGGACTTGAAAAAATTTGGATCTAGATTTTATCACGAATTAACATCAGTTCGGGATCACACTGAAAACTGCAGAGCATTGAAGAGATGTTTTGTTCTAATTCTGAACACTTCATAAGTAGACATCCATGACCCTACCAGAGATTTAACCCTGAAAATAATCAAAATCGCTACAAAAACACAATTTAAATATCAATTTCCAGCTCACTGATGCCTAATGGATGGATACCTTGAAGCCGCAGGGAGAAGTAGTAACCAAAGGAATCTAACATGTCAAGAAGAAGTGTATACTAATCGAAGACATTGGTTGAGGGTAGCCGCATATCACGAATTGACAAAGAATTCTCGGGACACTAAATTCCAATCCCAGTGGTTGAATGCTCAACGGACTTGGTCTCTTAACTTGAAGATCCAAAATTCTACCCTTGGTGTGGTTGTGTGTGTTCACTGATGAAAAGTCCCAAACTAGAACAAAACAGTCATCCAATGGTCATTTGTTAGGTTTCTTCACGAATTGGAATGAGTTAGAGATGACTGAAAATCAGGAAGAACTTGGCAGCTGTTTTTTTTCTTAGTTTGGGGCTCCTCATCACACCCACGAGTCTCCAGAAGTGGCACCCGAGACCCTCAATTTACGACACTAAGCTCGCTGACCATTTAGCCATCTGGGATGGGATTCAGTGATCCATGAATTCTAACTTTTCAGATTTCGATACAACACAACCCTCAACCAAAACGTTTGATGAGCATCCACTTAATTTTGACATGATAAAATTCATGCGCCACTCGATTCCGGTTCTAGGGGCTGAATGATCAACGAGCTTGGTTTCGCAACCTGAAGGTCCGGGGTTCCATCTCTGGGATGAAAGTCCTTGGGTACGTACTTCTGGAGAGCCCCAAAGAAGGTCTAACAGCTGTCCTCTACTTCTTGGTCTTCAGTGATCTTCAGCTGATGTTAGTTCGTGACGAAATCTATGTTGAAGACTAAGCTTATGATTTAGTAATGGTAATACTTTATATAAGGATTACAACTACGTTTTTTAACATTTGTAATAATATAATGGATTGAGAAACTTGAATAAAAATTAGTAACTAGCTTAATGTACCAGGTCCTTTGTTTGATGAGAACTGAGTTTTGTCAGTCACGTTCGCAATGTGGCCACCATTCTAGGTGGCTTGCCATCACGTCAAAAAGCTTCCTTCCGATTACCTCCAACCATCTAATATCAACCATTGACAGTCCAACGCTATGGCAAGTCACCTATCGTGGTGGCCACAATGCAAACATGACTGATAGGATTCATTCGGCACCAAAAAAATGACTAGACACATTAGACTAGTTTCCAATTAGTCTCCAACCAAGGTATCCAATACAGTCCCACATGAGGCCAATCGCGAATCCGAATAGCTCAGTGGTAACGTCTTTGATTGCAGCACTACTGGGTGACCCGAGTTGGAATCTCAGAAAAAGGGGACATGAGTTCCTTCAAATTTGCAGACACGCCTTACTGACTGACGAGTACGAACCAGCACGAAACCCAGCTCAAGCAAGGCTTCCTTTCGATTGCCCCCAACCATCTAATATCAATAGTGTAACCAAGTTGGATGAATAATTAAAATCAGCTTTAAAAATATCCTCATGTAAGTTTTAATATTCTACATGTACGCGTATCATGAGGCCGCAGTTTTAAATAATTTTAAGTTATTCAAAATTTTCAACATGATTTACATTTGAGTAATACTCAATCAGTTCATCATATGGTGCATAAATTGAGGCAGGTTTATTAGGACTTTTGAACACTGAAGGTACAAATAAGTGTTATGTACTAGGCAATGTAATCAAAGAATTTTCAAAGTATAGAAAGTTTATCAGTTACTTTCTGAAATTCCCTAAAAGAAGTGATTTATTACATATAAGAATAAAAGACACAGTAAAATGAGTGATATTTAGGATGTTTTACCATAAAAAGAAGGATACCAGAAACCATGTACTGGTTCTCATTAAATCTGCTATCAGGTTAGTGTTTAGATTTACATATTCAAAAAAACAAAATTCTTCAGTTTATCAAATGCTGCTTAGTGAGTAAGTGATTACGTAATTTTTTCTATATTTTCATGCCTATACTTTCCCAGTGGAACATAGAGCTACAAACTTGCGCTCGGAAGTTTCAATAAAATTAGTGCTTATTTTCATGGGATGGAATTACTAGCCTGACGTTCAGCCTTTCCTCTTTGTCAGACTTGCACTCGGCTAAGAGAGGTAAAGCTGTGCCCAGGCTGGGACTCGAACCCCGGACCACAGGCATAGTTGGTGAGTATTCTCCTGCTGAACGACCAACTCACTTAAACATTATCACAGCGGGGAGTATGCATATAGCATACAACTCTCTTCAAGCCTTGCATACTAACGTTAGGTCGCGGATCTAGTAACGGAAAATTATGAGAACACCATCAGAGCATATGGTGGGCTAGCTACCTCGATCCGTTAACAAAACATGGTTAAACAAACTAAAGGCTGTCAGATACCTTGTTACAGTATAAGAATTTGACCAATTGTTTATCAAGATAACATATTTTGAAAACTCAAAGATTAGTCGGAAGATTTCATCATGAGCTGACATCAGCTAGAGAACCATTGGAAAACCTCGGAGTGCTGGACAGCCAGCTGTTTCGTCAGCCTGATTTGGCACTTTTCATCAGTGCGCACCCACACTGCGGAGTTCGAGTCCAGGTTGCAAGGCAAGCTCGTAGACCAGCTCGTGGTGAAATCTTTCAACCAATCAAAAGAAATCCTTACAAAATCAATACTTGAAAACTCAAAAATATAATTAAGGAGTAGGCTTTTGAACAAAAAATAAATGTTCATTAACTCATTATACAGACCAGATTAACAGTCAAAGAACTTCATGGTATGAGTGGCGCGCAATCAAACTGCAATGACAATATTTATTAAGTGCTGAAAGCAAACATTCTATCCATAATGTTCTTTGTTTTCTTCAAAGTCTTTTTTACATTTAAACTCTTCTTCAAATGCCCAATTACCATTTATTATTTCTTTTTGACCAGATAAGGTCAAACATTATATATAATGGCTAACGAGTGTTATTTTTCTTTTCACTGAGGCAAACCATTTTTGAATACACATGTCGATTATGACCTAGAATGGAATGCACGCATCAAAAGGAATGCAT